AATTATCTATGTTTCAGATACAACGCTTAGTCCTTGTGCCATCGTTGTTGCGTTCATTGCTCATGTATCTAAACATGCGAGTGAGTATGTAAAGTTATATTCCATGCATGTAATTTATCGCAATATAGGCGAACCTATTATTATTACGTAAATTTCTCGGAAATTTTAATCGTGATTTTACGCAACATTATACGAAAGATTAAAAACAATGTGCTTTCCTGACCACTAAAATGAGTAACTTTCAATATCTCATAATGATGATAATAATTCACTATACATCGATGATAAGGCATAAGACGTGTGGATGTTTTTCCTCTAACATCGCGAAGATCTTAAGCAGCCTCTTACTTTTAGCATTTCAACATTAGTTTGGAAACGTTAGACATGCTTTATTCGTCTTGAGCAAATTACAAAACGTACATGCAAATATATATTGAATAAATAAAAATCAACGCATTCACAATTCAGTGATTTCTAGATCGGCGTGTCTCAATTGCAAAGTTTTTCGCAAATCACTATAAGTTGCGCTTGTAAATTACCCAACGCGAATTACGAGCATTCGATTCAATGTTTAATTAGCGAAAGTCATGCTGTCGAGGTATCTGTGTCAATAAGGAGTTAATTTTATGACAGGTGTCAGTAAATTAATTAAAGGATAATAAAAATCATGCTTATTATTATCCTAAGCGGATTAGAAAATTTTTATATTATTGTTATCGCAAATCAAGACACCTGAGACACGGTTATGATTACACGATATGAATGTACACCGCTTTACAACACCTTGGATTTGATATACGGTCTGTCGTTGCTTTGCAGGATAATGACAACGTTCTCGATCGCTTGAAACTCTGGATCTGTTCCGGAGAAATTTTGTCGGTCGCATTGGCCAATCAATTTTTCACCACGTTTGACAACAAGAGCAAGATATTAGCTAATTTCTACGGTAGCACGGAAGTCATGGGTGACGTTACATATTACCTATTAAGCAAACAAGAACAATTACAAGGGATGGAGAAAGTGCCAATCGGTAAAACTAATAAAATAAAGTTGAAAAAATAAAATAATGTTATGAAAGTAATAAAATAATTAAATAATTAATATAACAATATAACTAAGCATAACAACATTTATGAATTAATTCTAAGCTAATAAATAAAAGTCTATTTCAATGGATTATTGTTACTAATAAATAATAATCGCTAAACAACATTTACATGGCTCGCATTATCTTTGCAGGAAAGCCGATCGACAACTGCATAACTTATGTCGTGAACAAGGACTTGCGACTGATCCCCCAGGGAGAAGTCGGAGAGCTGATCGTGGCTGGAAGAAATCTTGCCGCGGGTTATATAGGTGGACAAGACACACATAAATTTTTGGACAATTCTTATGCCATTGATCCAGGTGAGAAAATAAAATAACACAACAAGAAGATCGAATTCTACGTGTTTCGAACTTAAAAAATTCATTGCGACCTACAAATTCTTCTATTCGTAATCCTGATTTCTCTTGCAAGCAAAACGTCGCGTTTTTTTTAGTGGAAAGAATTACGACTTTGTTACGCATTTATAAATGTAATATATACAGAATATCCAAAAATCTTCCGTACGGGTGATTACGCTAAAATTGTCAAAGAGTTGGTAATTTACGAAGGACGATCTGCGGATTCGCAGATCAAGATTAGAGGTCACCGTGTCGATTTCACGGAAGTCGAAAAGGCGGTCGCCAAGGTACCCAATATTGATAAAGTTGTGGTTCTCTGTCACAAACCCGGCA